TTTCTTAATTTTATGGCTACCAAACCTAAGTTAAGATAAAAATACCTAACATGAAAATTTTCAATGGGGAAGGTGGCGTCTGTTTATTAAAATATATAAGGCCAAAAAGTTGACGAACAGACGAGGATAGTGTAGGTGAAAGAAAGTTGAAGAAACGGCAATGGTGAAGGATAGAGTGTGTGTAACAGGTGCCGGAGGGTTCCTTGCTTCTTGGGTTGTCAAGCTTCTCCTCTCTAAAGACTACGCCGTCCACGGCACTGTCCGTCAGCCAGGTAATTAGTCTTCCTTTCTCCATTCAGTACTGTTACATAATTACTAGGAAGAAAAGGCCATCAGATATTGAACTGGCATAATTGGGTTTCTCTAGATCAGAGAATGGGCTCTGTATTTTCTGTTTAATCTACCATATTTAAAGGAATTCTGAAGGCTGCAACTTTGTGACATTAAATTATGATTTTGATTGGCTGTCTCGAATGATTTTCGATCCGCAGGAGATGAAAAGTATGCCCATTTGAATAAACTTGAGAAAGCATCTGAGAACCTCGAGCTCTTCAAGGCTGACTTACTGGATTATGATTCTCTTTATTCAGCCATTGAAGGCTGCGATGGTGTTTTCCATGTTGCCTCCCCTGTGCCATCCACCACTGTTTCAAATCCTGAGGCATGTCTATCTATTTGTATACCCTATACTGTGAAATTAGCTTTGGTAATCTTACTTTCGATACATAAGATACATGTTTCACTTTGTCATGCTCATGTAACCTATATTAGGTGGAAGTGATTGAACCAGCTGTAAAGGGCACGCTTAATGTGCTTAAAGCATGTCTTGAAGCGAAGATAAAGCGAGTTGTCGTTGTCTCCGCTGGAGCTGCAGTTGCATTCAATCCTAGATGGCCAAAGGATCAAATCAAGGATGAAACTTGTTGGTCTGATAAGGAATACTGCAAAACAACAAAGGTCAGTAACATCTGTTGATTTTTTTTTTTTTTTTTCACAAATAAATGGAGAGAAAATCTGGAAGAAGATGAAGAGCAGAACATAAACTAAAATGGAGAGGAGTATAATACTCCAACTCAAATTTTCTCATTAATAATCTCTGCTATATATAGCAGAAAACAAACCTAAAAACAATTTAGAAATTTTCTTTTTTCGTCTAAGCAACTTTTCTATATTAAAAAGCAATAACAAAAGTACATCTAAAACAAGTAAAAGACAACCACTTTTGCTGGATGCTTGCTGTTCATTGCAGCCCTTCATTTGCATTTGCTGTTCATTGCAGCTTCATTTCATCAACATTTGCAACTTAGCTTGCTGCACATTTTTGCTGTCAAATTGCAGCTTCATTTGCTGTCAATTTTTAGCCTCATTGCTGCCATTTAATGGCAGTTTCATTTCATCATTTTGCAGGTTTGAATGCCACATTTCTAATAATATTTCCAACAACTTCAAGAGCCAAAAGGTTGATAGGGTTTATTACAACAATGTCCCCATGTGATATACTTAATCTCTCATCTATGTGTTTGCACCAGAATTGGTATTTCCTCTCAAAAACAGAAGCAGAGAGTGAGGCTTTGGAGTTTGCCAAAAGCACTGGACTTGGTGTTATAACTGTTTGTCCTACCCTTATTCTGGGGCCAATTCTACAGCCCACAATCAATGCAAGCAGCAGTTTTCTCATCAAGATTTTGAAAGGTGCTTGATTCTTTCAACATATATTAGTATTTTTTTGGTCTTCCAGAAAGTAGCTAGCTTTCTTTTGTTAATAATTTGTAGAATTGAAAGTTTTGTTAGCTCAAGAGGCATATGGTGAACGTTTTTCCTTTGTAACTTGAGCATGTTTTCCTCTGAATTAATGTTTAAGGCTATGGTATTCTTGCTTGTAACTTGTGTTCCTTCGTGATGTGTCCATTCAGAGGGGTGTGCATCATTGGAAAACCGGAATCTTATGATAGTAGACATTCGTGATGTGGCTGATGCACTGATTCTGGCATACGAGAAGCCTGAGGCTGAAGGCAGATACATATGCACAGCTCACCAAATCAAATTACGTGATGTGGTTGATAAATTGCGTAGTCTGTATCCTAACTACCATTATCCTAAAAGGTAAACTCATTTTTGTTTGCACAACATTAATCTGAGTATGATCAAATATAATGTCAAACTCTTAGAATCACTGTCCCAAGCACATAAATTTTGTTGCGGTTCTTTTAAGTTTCCTTGTGTATATTGGCAGCTTCACTGTTGGAGAAGAAGGAATGCTGAGTTCAGAGAAGTTGCAGAAACTTGGTTGGCATTA